ATGAAAGTACGCGTGTATGACATCGGTATTGTTGTGTTGTTTATTATTTTATATTTATTGTTCATTTTGCCATTTTGCTTCTCACACGCTCACAGTTTGTTACGTAATTAATCATTCAAGACGCTGACAAAACAACAAATTGAATACAAAGCACTTATTGTAAGCTTACATGTGCTTACAAGTGTTTATAACTTAACTTATAATGTAAACTTACTTTAAGTTATTTTGTAACTTAAAGGTTGAATAATAGAAGTGATCATTGAGTAAATATAGAGCAAACTATATATAGAACTGTTCTCTTCCTATATAGGAAGAGAACAAACTAGCACTACACAAGCTGCTGAATGTAATGCACACAAACTGGCACTACACAAGCTGCTGAATGTAATGCACACAAACTGGCACTACACAAGCTGCTGAATGTAATGCACACAAACTGGCACTACACAAGCTGCTGAATGTAATGCACACAAACTGGCACTACACAAGCTGCTGAATGTAATGCACACAAACTGGCACTACACAAGCTGCTGAATGTAATGCACACAAACTGGCACTACACAAGCTGCTGAATGTAATGCACACAAACTGGCACTACACAAGCTGCTGAATGTAATGCACACAAACTGGCACTACACAAGCTGCTGAATGTAATGCACACAAACTGGCACTACACAAGCTGCTGAATGTAATGCACACAAACTGGCACTACACAAGCTGCTGAATGTAATGCACACAAACTGGCACTACACAAGCTGCTGAATGTAATGCACACAAACTGGCACTACACAAGCTGCTGAATGTAATGCACACAAACTGGCACTACACAAGCTGCTGAATGTAATGCACACAAACTGGCACTACACAAGCTGCTGAATGTAATGCACACAAACTGGCACTACACAAGCTGCTGAATGTAATGCACACAAACTGGCACTACACAAGCTGCTGAATGTAATGCACACAAACTGGCACTACACAAGCTGCTGAATGTAATGCACACAAACTGGCACTACACAAGCTGCTGAATGTAATGCACACAAACTGGCACTACACAAGCTGCTGAATGTAATGCACACAAACTGGCACTACACAAGCTGCTGAATGTAATGCACACAAACTGGCACTACACAAGCTGCTGAATGTAATGCACACAAACTGGCACTACACAAGCTGCTGAATGTAATGCACACAAACTGGCACTACACAAGCTGCTGAATGTAATGCACACAAACTGGCACTACACAAGCTGCTGAATGTAATGCACACAAACTGGCACTACACAAGCTGCTGAATGTAATGCACACAAACTGGCACTACACAAGCTGCTGAATGTAATGCACACAAACTGGCACTACACAAGCTGCTGAATGTAATGCACACAAACTGGCACTACACAAGCTGCTGAATGTAATGCACACAAACTGGCACTACACAAGCTGCTGAATGTAATGCACACAAACTGGCACTACACAAGCTGCTGAATGTAATGCACACAAACTGGCACTACACAAGCTGCTGAATGTAATGCACACAAACTGGCACTACACAAGCTGCTGAATGTAATGCACACAAACTGGCACTACACAAGCTGCTGAATGTAATGCACACAAACTGGCACTACACAAGCTGCTGAATGTAATGCACACAAACTGGCACTACACAAGCTGCTGAATGTAATGCACACAAACTGGCACTACACAAGCTGCTGAATGTAATGCACACAAACTGGCACTACACAAGCTGCTGANACGACCCCGACCTCAGGGTGGCGGTCAGTTAGCTCTTTATTGCTTTATCTCCTTTATTAAATATTTGTGAATACTTATACGGAAATAATACATAAATTATAACAGCAAATACTTAAGTAGGTATATATCATGACCTCAGGGTGGCGGTCAGTTAGCTCTTTATTGCTTAATCTTTATTAAATATTTGTGAATAATTCCTAATCTTTATCAAATGTTTGTGAATAATTATAGCGAAATAATAAATAATCATAACAGCAAAGACACAAAGCATAAATCATGACCTCAGGGTGGCGGTCAGTTAGCCCTTTATTACCTAATCTTTTTCAAATGTTTGTGAATAATTATAGCAAAATAATAAATAATCATAACAGCAAACACACAGTATATCATGACCCCAGGGTGGCGGTCAGTTAGCTATTTATTGCTTTATCTTTATCAAATATTTGTTAATAATTATAGGGAAGTAATAAATAATCATAATAGCAAACACACAAAGTATACCTTGACCCCAGCGTGATAATCAACTGTGAGAAGAATTGACACATCATCTAAAAACAAACATTACATAATAATTATTTTTAACAGCAAAAGAAAACTTCATTCCCTAGATGTGCTAAGATATTTTCTCAGGCTAGGCATTTACTGATTTATACAGTGGGTATGTCGCAGATCATGCACTGTCTCTTATACACATCTAGATGTGTATAAGAGACAGNAGGACTGCCACCACTCGCAGGACTGCCACCACTCGCAGGACTGCCACCACTCGCAGGACTGCCACCACTCGCAGGACTGCCACCACTCACAGGACTGCCACCACTCGCAGGACTGCCACCACTCGCAGGACTGCCACCCTGCCACTACTACGCAACCTGACACCGGGGGCGGGACTGCGGCAGCTAAAGCCCCCGCAGCTCGCAGCATCGACTTCGACGACAGCCGCGCTTCCCTCGAGTGTCGTCCTGACAAGAAGACTTCGTCAGAAATTAACGAGACCCTGCAAGTCCCCGGCCAGCCCAAGGACTCAGCAGTGCCTGCAGGATCCCAGCGAAGCAAGAACAGGAATAAAGAACGCGTGCCTCGTGCGTCGACCGCCGGGACGCGCAGACGCCGAGGGCGCGGCGCTCCCAACTACTCGGAGCCTGACGACGACCTGCTCGCCGACCTCTACGAGGGCCTACGGGGTGAGTCTTGCACTGCAGGCTTTGCTCTCATGTCTGCCTATAAGTCAACCACTTGCGATGCTATTTATTTTAAACTCCTGCTAAAGATATGAAAAAGGAAGCTACTTCTAGGCAGATTACACTGAAAGAGCTTTGACTATACGACTTGATGACGCTTGAACAACATTTAATCAACGTTATTTCAACGTTAAATGCCTGGTGGGTTACGGGTTAGATTCGAGCTCTATTATGTGCTAATTAGATCATAGTTGAAGCAGAGCATCAACGCGATTTATTTAGCTTGCACGGCGCACAGATCAGAATATAAGTCATTTTTTTTGTGAGTGTTGGCTCCTCTTTTCCCTTTAGGTTTTCGAAATTTTGCCGATATTTTCCATCAATCTTTGTAATAATTTAGTTGACCACCTGCCTCAAGATGGAACACGTTGAGAGTGTGTACAGAGACCAAATCATCAACTCGTCATGACGAGCTTCTAACTGTTGAACTCGTGCGCTATCATCGAGTCATTAAACTTCCACAGCGCAGTGTTGAACTAGCGAGCAAATTACAAAATTTTATTTCTATTCTTTGGATTTTTTTCAAGCAGACCCTGACGAGGAGCTGGAGGCCAGCAGCCGCTCGTCGTCACGAGGTCAGTGCCTCGCTGCTGTGTCCTCACTAACTCTTATGGCCTCCGCCCCGCCCTCACTAACTCTTATGTCCTCCGCCCCGCCCTCACTAACTCTTATGTCCTCCGCCCCGCCCTCACTAACTCTTATGTCCTCCGCCCCGCCCTCACTAACTCTTATGTCCCCCGCCCCGCCCTCACTAACTCTTATGTCCTCCGCCCCGCCCTCACTAACTCTTATGT